CGTATGGGGCGTACAGCCTCGAAGGGATGGTGCATTTTGCTTGAGATCTAAGATGACTTCCTCAGCACTCTGTACGATCCAACAGCGTCGTACACCTACTTCTTGATAAAGCTCATTGTCCTTACTGCGCAGAGACTTGATCATGCCTTGGAGAGCATAGCTAAGTGAGCGGGAGGCCATTGTTGTACTSGCAAGAGGMTTATGAGGGGGTCTGTTATGCAAACTGGAGACCGAAGACTGGCGAGGTATTGTGCGAARTGAAGACTGAGAAAGGTTGTTTTGTTGAGTAACACYGAGAATTGGGCGAAGACCAGGCGGGGATTTATGTGCTTTAAGTGCAAAGTAGAGATAGGGCAGGGTGTCAGTATGTCGATAGCCCCAACGCTGATTGAAAAGCGCATGGTGGTCAAGGATGCCGGCCACAGATTCTGATGTCGAATCGTAGGTAGGACTATCAAGGTGTTGTGATAACTTATACCCGTACCAGCGCTTTGCAGCAGATTGCCATGTTGTGCGATGTTTTATCAACAGGCACTATAGCAAATTGCTGTTGTAGCTGCCATAGAGATGTATTAGCAGCACGCAAGTTAGCTTGAGTGGGTGCTTGGCACTGTGACGTAGATAGATTCCGTTGGCATCTTGAAAGAATTGCTGTGCGCCATCTGCGCAACTGAGAGAGACTTTCGGCAATTAGAGACTCATTGTTGCGTGCTGATCTCATGGCTGCTATGAACTTGGCAATATACTCATCCAGGCCGAGTTTCAATGCTTTCATCACATCTGTGGTGTTGGCATTRAGGCRGTACTTGGAGCCTTCAAAGAAGAGAGCCCGCAAGTGTGTATCTTGTATAACAGTGTAGTCCACTGTAGCTACATGACCATCAACAATGTCCGCACAATGTGGAAACGCTTGTCGGCACAGACAATTGGCAGGGTCTGGAAGAGGCATATTGCTTGTTATGGTAAGTGCCACTTCTGTAAAATTGCAGAACTGGACACGAATGGGGGGCACCATCTTATCACAGATGCGTATCTCCTTGGCAAGAGCAGGTCGTGGGTGTAATTCAGCGACCTCTGGTAGCCGAAGGACGCCTCGTAGTTGTGTGGTGCGAGCAACCTGATGCATGTGCATAACCTTAATAAAATTTAAGAATTGAGCCCCATTATGTCCAGGGCTGAGATACGGTTGGTGTGAATATTGCAGACCACGGATCATGCATTCCAGTTGACGAATGTTCGATGTGAGCTCAGAGTTGGAGACATTCCTTAGCAACCATTGCAACAAGCGAGAGCGCCAGGCAGAGCTGGCTTGAGAGAGGGCACAAGATATGGATTCCCATTCCGAGTTCGCTGCCTGTGTGAGCATGCGATGCAGGGCTGAGCGCACAGCAAAGAAGGGACCCGGGGCAGTGTCAATCGTGAAGGGCCTATCAGCAGAAGTTTGCACTGCAGGGCGGGTAGCAGGACTATTCGGGCGGCCTCTCGTACAAATCCACCTGTTCGGACGACGAGATCGTCTGACTGGCGGTAATCGCCCTTGTGGGAGGACGCTGTTAAAGCCCCGAGGATATAACGTGGAC